TCACACCCTAGCTGTCGCCCCATTACGGGTGTCATTGCTCTTAGGTGCCAAGGGTGTCGCCATGGCCGTCGAGGTCCCTCCTAGCCATCGCACCCTGATAAGTCTTCATTATCATGAGTTAATAATTAGTAAATAATATAGTTTTAGCCTTAACTCATGATAAATAGACTTATATTTGTGTTAAAGAATGACTTGTGGTTTTCAGTTGATTAACGTGAATTTTTGGGTAATTATGTGATTTTATACGATTTTTACAGTCTTACTTTTGAGATAAATGAAGAACAAGAAATAAAAATAAAAATATTGTAAAATGGGGGGACCCGCCGGCCAGCCGGGCCCGCAAGCAGGTCGGAAGCGCAGTCGGGGAGTAGCCGCGAGCAGGGGCTCGAGCGGCTTAGCTTGGACCGATAGGGGCACGTGTGCGCCACTCCCCTTCCACGTCACCGGTGGCCAGCCGGCTGTGGGGCAAGGAGTGGTCGTACATGTGAGAGAAGGGAGTTTGCTCACAAATCTAACATTACTATATATTCGCCCGAAAAATCGGCGCACAACCGATGTGGGACTAAACCCCCGTCACACCTTCCTCAGAGGCGGGCGACCGGCGCGGGTTCGAATCCTCCCAGAGTCAAAATCCATATATTTTTATCTGATTATCGCGACTTTCCTGCAGATCGCCGGTGAAGGATTAAGCAACGAGAATCGCTGGATCATCGGCGAAAATCTCGTCAACGCGATTCGCGGAGCATTGCTACTAAAATTGCTGAACGATTCGCGATAAAAGGATCGCGAATCCATCGAGTAAATCATCTCCGATTGATCGACGAACAAGCCGTCGTCGGGAAGAGGACGATCCGCCGGGAGACGAGTCGCCACCTCCTGAGAGCGTACCAGATGCGATGAAGAGCCTCCTCTTGCTGCGTGGACCTGAGGATGAAGCTCCCTGACATGCGCCCCACCTCCATCCAGCTCCTCTTCGTCGGGTGACAGCCGCCGGAGAGCCGCAAAGTCGCCGTTTTTCCGCTCCGCCGGGTAACAGCCGCCGGAGACGATTCGACGACCCACTTCATTGATCTCTAGACTTCGCGAGAAGATCTAGAGATTGCCCACGTCGTCTTTGTCCAAGGAGAGCCTTTGAGGCCGTGGACACTGCACGACGATCCTCCCCAACGCTCAGGATTCCGGTGCATCGCCGACGCATCGCCGTCGCGACGCCGGAACTCTGTTTTCCTGCTTTCAATTTACTTTACGCTTCATTTAGTGATAATTTTTGTGTTTTTAATTTACCAAGATAAACTTTGTTCTATTACGATTCTTCCGGCTTTTACAGATCTTAATTTGATCAATTAAATCGTCTGTAATCGCTTACGTAAGAATCGCCGGGCGGAACTCTGTTTCCGCCCGATTCGCGTTCGCCGGGGCGTTGACGTCATCCTGACATCCGCGCCCTTATTTCCTTTTTTCGTGAATTTTAAATATATTTCTTTTTTTATTTCCTAGTATAAAATTCATAGAAAATCGTATTCATTGAGAACAATTCTGAATAATTACCAGATATTATATTACATCTTGTGATCGACCTGGAAAATTACCGCTATTTTTGGAACTTTTATTGAATTATAATTGATATATTTATTTAGAAATACTTCTAAATATCTGAAAATTCGTATTTTCTAGTTTTATAAATTTTAGATTTGCGTGATTTAATATACAACGACTGAGTCACGTCACACCCTTACTGTCGCACCCTTGCTATCACACTCTTGTTGTCATTCCCTGACCAACACTCCCTTGCTGTTGCACCCCAACCCTTGTCGTCGCCATCGTGGGTACCATCAACATCCGGCCACAGTGGCTTAGGTTTTGCTCGTCTTTTGGCAAGCCAACTAGTAGTTTTCTTCCAAACCAGCCCACTCGAGAATGGCCCAACCAGACTCGCCGGGCCCACATAGACTCGTAAACCTAGTATGGCCCAACCAGCCCTAGCTGAGCCTAGCCAACTCTGCCAAGCCTCGCCGGCTTTGCCTGCTCCTCCGGACTGGCTCATCGGGCCCTAACCTGCTCACCACACCACTTGCCCCTCATGGCATTATCTCACTCCCCTCCGTCGCCTACCTTTGAACCCTCTGAGCTTCTTCCGACTAATGTTCTCCCTTCTCTAGCAATTCCTCCAATTCACCACTCCATCACGACGCAACTTACTCGATCGGTGTACATCTTCAATGACGACAATTATACATCATGGGCATCTGGCTTCGAGCTCTTCCTTAGATCTCATAGCCCCCTCCACCTCTCAAAAGACCCACTTGGCCTTTGGGACCCCTCGTATGCAACATAGTCACAATTTGACTCAGCCGTCATCACATAGATACTTTAGAACATCAAACCCACTATTGCCGAGCCACTAATGTGCATCACCTCGGTCCATCTCTTGTGACTCACTATAGAGACCATGTATGTCAATCAGACGAACATCGATCGCGTTGTGGAGATCTTTGAATCTCTTCTCTCTTGTAAATAAGATGATCTCTTTTTAGGTCTACTACGGTCACCTCCAAGCCCTCATCGAGGTTGATATCTATCAACCCCTTACTATCGACATTCTAACCCTCCAGTACTATCGCCACGAGTTTTATGTTGAGGTTTATTGTTAACTTGTGAAAACTATATATTAATCTATTATCAAATCAAGAAGAATAATGCATATTTGAGAAGTATTTCACAAGTTATCATGTTAATTATTTTATTTATTATTTAAATAAACCTCTCTAAATCTTAATTTAAATTAATATTTTATGAATAAAAAGAAAATGATGAGATTTTATTTCATATCTTGAGGCTTAATTCTCATTTATTTATTTCTAAACATTGTGCTAAATTTTTATGATTTGAAATATATTTTTTATAATTTTTCCAAAAGTTTTAGGCATTAAAATAAATATAATCAAATGACGTCATTATTATATATGATAACACTCGCATAATATTTCTGATATGGGATTAACTTTATCTTGTTATTCTTTTCAGATTTGGCGGTCGCGCGATAGTAGTGGTCAGATCTAACACACTACATAAAGTTGTGTTACCGCTGCCATCATACGAAAAAGTAGCTCTAGGATCTCACGGCCACTACTAGCAGATCCGACGCACCACATGAAGCCACATCACCACCGTCGTCATACGAAAAAGTAGCTCCAAGATCCAACGATGACTGCTAGCAGATCTGATGATCCAGGAGATGCCACGTCGCAGCATCAACGCACAAAAAGTAGCCGCCAATCCAACGGTGGCTATCCTCACACATGGATCCCGATAAATCACAGCAAAACGAGTGAGAGCTAATGGAGATCTAACGACGATTATTAGTCCACATCACCCCTCTTTAGAGCAAAATGACGGTGTAAGGATCCAACGGTCTTCATCAAACCATGTGTCAGAGAATATATTTACAAATATCGATTATCATTTGGTAAAACAGACGATATCGATTATTCCCTCTCACACACGAAAGGGTATATGTTCAAATATCGATTATCATCTAGTAAAATAGATAATATTAATTATTGCCGCGTGAGAAAAGGAGAAAATCTTACTCCTACCTTCCACGTGACCTTCTCCGACTCTAACGTTCCCCACTCCATACCATGTTTTAACTCCTACCTTTCACGTGACCTTGATGCTTGTGAAGTATAATATCATTCGCCATGCCAATAATACCGATGCTTCCACCTCTACCAGGCTCACCTCATTTTCAACCTCCATGCCAAGTACACATGCTCTTCTTACTTCTTCTTCAATGTCGTGGATTATCAATTCGAGGACCTCCACCCACATGACTAGTATCCCTCCTATTCTCTCCTCCTATCAGCCTACTCGGCCCATCCCCCTATCATCATTGTCGATGGTTAGACCTATCTAGTCAAAGGTTATAGTGTCACTTCGACTTTTCCCTCCCTTCACCTTACACAAGTTCTCTACGTTCTCAGTTTTTCTACTAACCTTCTATTCATCAATACTATTACCCGTGCCCTCTTTTGTACAATCATATTCTTTTCCTTTCACTATACTTTTCAAGATCTACGTACCAAATGAAAGATTAATTTGGGTCATAAAAAAGATTAGGATGTCTACGAACTCATTTCTAATAAACCCTCATTTATCCTTCAAGTCTTTTTTATCACCTCTACGACTATTTCTTTTCTTTTGTGGCATTGTCGTTTGAACCTTTCTCTAAGTTACAAAAAATCTTATCGTGACTTTTTCTCTCTAAATTTGTGTGCAAATCTTGTCAATTAGGCAAACATCACTGTGCTTCTTATCCTAGTTGTGATGGCATCCCCTCTTCCGCTCTATTTGACATTCAACATTGTGATGTATGGGGACCATCTTGTACTTCCTCCATCTCGAATCATCATTATGACATCATTTTTGTTGATGACTATACTCATGTAAATTAGGTCTAGTTCCTCCACGACCGCTCTAGGGTTGTTATCGTAATTACTTACTTCATCACCGAAGTTATCACTTAATACATTACTATGTCTAAGATTTTTTGTACTGATAACGCTCTTGAGTTTGTTCAAGCATCTCTTCACACCTTTTGCAATGATCGTGACATCTTCTACTAGACCACTTATCCTCACACTTCGTAGTAGAATGATGTTGCTAAACACAAACATTGTCAGTTTTTTGACATCACTTGTACACTTCTTTTTGAAATGAATGTCTCTTACTATCTTTAGATTAACGTCCTTCTAACTGTCACTTACTTCTAGAATTGGCTTCCCTTCACTCTTTTTGAGGGGGTCATTCCTTTTCATTGCTTAATCCTTGATTCTCTTATTTTTTCTCTTCTCCCTTGAGTCTTTGGATGCACTGCCTTCATCTAGGATTTCTCTCTTTCTCTTTCTAAACTTACCCTTCGTGCTCTTAAAAGGGTCTTTGTCATTTACTTTTGTATGTAAAAAGGTTATCGAATCTACTTCTCCAGTACACATTATTATATGACCGTGGCCGACGTCACTTTTTATGAGGAGTCTCATTTCTTCTCTCCTATTTTGACTCTTCCTCGAGCCACTATGGATACAATATCCTCTTCATCCTCTTCTACAATCTCTTTTGCATCTTTGGTCACTACTCTACCTAATGACCTTCATTTTCCTATTGCCCTCCACAAAGGTACATGTGTCTGCACCCACCATCTCATCTCCTAATTTATCTCCTATGACCTTCTTTCTCCTTTTTTTCTTGCCTTTGCCCTCTCTATGGCCTCCGAGTTGCTTCAACAATTGCATGATAAGGCTACACAAATACTTACATGAAAGGCGGCCATAGATTTATAAGTAGCTACGTTGGTCGTTCAGGAGACTTGACATTTAGTTACGTGTCCAACTAATGCCAACATTGTGATGTGCAAGTAGATGTTTACTCTCAAGTATCACCTAGATGATTCAATCGCTCATCACAAAGCTCATCTAGTCACCCAAGGCTTCACACAAGCATATGTGATCGATTACACTAAGACGTTCTCTCATGTCGTTTGTCTTAACTCTATTCGCGTGCTCCTATCTCTCGTCATCAATCAAGCATGATCTCTCCACCAGTTAGATGTTTCTAATGCCTTTCTATACACTGATCTCACAGAGCAAGTCTTTATAACAGAGCAAGTCTTTATAGAGTAACCTTTTAGGTATGTTATTCAGGGGGTGTCATCGAAAGTATGTCTCTTGTGGCATGTCATTTATGAGCTCAAGTAGAGTCTACGTGTTTGGTTTAACAAGTTTAGTGATTTACTCATTACCTTCGACTTCACCTCCTACACTGCAGATCCCACCATACTCACGAAGAAAACAAAAGATGACTTTATCATCCTTATAGTCTATGTCAACAATATTCTTGTGATTGAAAGTGATGAGGTCAATATTTTTGTTGTCAAAACCTACTTGCAACAGCACCTCAACATTCATGACTTGAGGACTCCGTGATATTTTCTTAAAATTGAGTTTATGTATCAAGATCGGAAGCTCACCCTCACTTAGCGAAAGTATACCCTCGACATGCTTCAGGAAATATGTCTCCTTGGGTGTAAGCCGAAGACTTTGCCCATGAAAACTCGCCCACAGTTCTAAGGCATTTCATCTCCCCTACTCGAAGATGTTAACCGGTATCGACAATTGTTGGGCAAGCTAATATATTTTACTATCACTCGTCATGACATTATGTACACAGTTAATGTCTTGAGTCAATTCATATAGAAGCCTCGACAAGTTCATTGGGAGGGTGCTCTATAAGTCCTCACCTACATCAAGTGAGCCCCAGGAAAAGGACTCATCTATCGGCAACACGGCTATCTCCACATTGTAGTCTACTCTGACGCTAGATATACAAGTGCCTATTCACATACATTACACATACATTGGCGATAACTTAGTCACATAGCGGTCTCAAAAATAGAGGGTAGTGTCCTATTCTAGTGCAGAATTCGAGTATCACATAGCAGCATCGCTTCTCTCTCTCCAATACTCATGCATTACAACAATCAAGTTACCATCTTCATTGTTGGCAATCCCACCTTTCATGAGCTTACTAAAGATATTCAAATCGACTGTAATTACATTCGAGATAAAGTTATGTCTGAATTTATCTCTAGTTCTCATGTGACATCATTTCATCAACTAGCAGATGTCCTCACAAAGAGTTTGGCCAGCATCTCCTACAACGTCACGTGTACCAAGTTAGGCATGTTTGACTTATATGCTCTAATTTGAGGGAGAGTGTTCGATAGTGATATCAAACTTTCAGCCCACTAAAATCTATTATCTATCTCTCTCTCATCTCTCCTCTCTCTTATATAGGAGTCGTGTATTTTATCTTGAGACTACATGAATTCTAGGGTTTTTTTCTCTCGTGTCAACAAAACCATTATATTTGAGATTTATAATTGTAATCCAACTGTTAATAAGCATACCTATTTGCCCTAAAAATTATCTAAATTTCTCTCAAACTATTTTAAAACATCATATACAATTTTAATAAATTAAGTGTTGTTTATTATGATCATGACCTTCATGGTGTCAATATGGTTCACTTTTATTATAACAACTTTCACTATAACTTTCCATATATAGTTGAGGAACTAAATCTTCAGGTGGTAGTTGGTTTTAAACATGACAAAAATTGGAGTTTGAACTGGATGCAAGTTAAGTTGAAACTCCCCATTATGTATGTTTCTATGATACATTTGACACTAAGGACTTCTATAGGCTTACTTACCTTATAAAAAGAATATCATCAGATTAGTGGTGCCATCATGATGAAGTTTCATCTTCATGATTGATTATTTTTATATGATGTTGATGCCACATCTCTTACCCCATGATCATAGTGGGGTGCATCACACTATGATGCACCCCTACTCGATGTGTGTGTGTGTGTGTGTGTGTGATAGAGAGAGAGAGAGAGAGAGAGAGAGAGATCTTACTATAGAGTCTAGAGAGTAGAATTAGCATACATGCGTCATTTAACCAAAACTTATTAAAGTAAGAGGAACAAGAAGAATTTGACACAATAGGTTTATGTGTTGCATCTAGAGATGATACTATCTAATTTGTACACAAATGTATTTGACAAAGTTGATAGACAATAAATTTATTGATGTCAATAATGGCTGTGTATTCATTGAATTACATTATATTTCATCTAGTGATCTTATTCTATGTACTTGTATTGCATACATGACATTTATCTCTTTCTTAAATTTCAGCTTGGAGAAAACCTTTGAGAGCGTGTAAAAGATTTTTAGACGAAGAAAGAAAAGTGAAGAACAATGTTCTTACACGAAAGGTATTATTTACTCAGCTCTATGTTTGACAACGTTGTGTGCTTATCCATACATTTATTTGCTTGTTAACTTTTGACAATTAAATGCGTTATCAAAACAATGTATTGATTGGTCTATAAAAAGGACACGGATTTAATTATTTTTGTGTCTATGACTATGTGATTCTCTTTTAAGTCAACCACCAGTCGACTTAAATTGGTTGGTTGACATAAATTGGTTAGTATCTATGTCTTACATCTGATGCATTTGACTCTACGATGATATAGTTTCTAGTATTTTAGCATTATTCTTGTAACTAGGAAATGTGCATGAAGATAGTCGTGCTATAGAACGAAAGCATAAACCATGTTGGACCATATTTTGTGTTAACTCATTGTGGCACATAATTTTGGGTGTCTTTCTTAAAATGTTCTTAATGAAATCTGATGAAATACTAAACACTTTTCTTATCAAGGGTAAGAGTGTAGAATTTGAAGATCATGAAATAAAGCATGGACTTAAGGTAGACCATTCCTAAGATCATGAAATGAAGGTAAACTCGTCAGCCAACCAGTATACAAATATTAGCACATTCCCATTCCTAACATCAGCAGCCTTTTGCAAGCTTCTCAATGATGGATCATTGAGCACGAAATAAATGAGCTCACAAAGTTAGAGGACAAATTGGAGAGTAAACTGAGGAAAATAAGGTTGAGAAAGGTTAGTTTCTTCTTCACCACTTCTTATCCAGCACCTTGCTTAATCTTTGACTATATCCATATACTTGAATGATTTTCAAGTATATTTTTAAGGCTATAACCTCACAATTAGTTTTCACAACTAATTTTCTAATCAGGCATTTTAAGGATATTATTAGTTGTATCAACTTGATGATGATGAAATCCCACATACAAAATTGGATTGCACTAACGAATGGGAAAAGAGCTGTCTTATGGGCAAGGCATTTTTAATATTTTTTTCCCATTAATAATCAATAAAATTTCAATTGGATATTTTGAAATTTTCAGGTAATATTCTAATGACTCCCACTCTATGAATTACTCTCATTGAAATAAAAGAGAGGCTAAGTAAAGACGAAATATAGTAAACATTTCATGGATGTAAAATAGCATGGAAAAACCAGTAGAAACTTAAAAATGTTTTTTTCATAAATCGGCAAAAAAATACATCTTAGTATTTTGAGAATCCCGAGATGATGCGTGGATTCTACATTGCATGCTCTAATACTACTATGCAGATCAATATAGAGATATGATTAAACATTATGGCAGAAGAATCTGAGACAATTCAGAGCATTTCAAGAGCCTGCTCTTATTTAGCACTCTTTGAGGCGATCCAATTCATACTCCCTATTCCAATTCATTATATGAGTCGAATAAATGGACAGGTCATATTTGACAAATAATAAACCAGATTGTCTCATAAAAGTTCTATAAAAGACTTGTTTATTTCCACTGGCTTGGAAGTATATACAAAAACTTTCCGACTTATTGTACTCCGGTTGGGCATGCATATAATATGATGGCCCCTTGTCCTATATGGGCATGCATATATACAAAAATAACGACGTTCATTATTTTCTGGATCATAAAATGGGTGGAGAGTGAAACAATACTTCACCCATGATGCCTATGTGCCAAGGAGAGTTTTTCTTTTCATGCTTTCTTTCTTTCCTTTTCAAAAATAAAGGTCTCAAAGGCTGAAAGTTCTTGTCAGGAAGATCCTCCCAGCGATACAACATACACACGCAATGATTTTGCAAAAGTCAACCAGTTGACTTTTTGAGTCTTTGACGACAATTACATTTCTGACAATCAAATCACGACAGATGGGCGAACGAGATACTCTCCGATTTGGACGTAAATAATATGAAAGTAACTGCTTTTATTTTAGGCTTTCACTGGTTAACTGTTAGATGTGTGAGGAAGAAACGAGTTTCTACTCCCTCATATTTCTTGTAATGTATCCTAATTCTTGGATTTTGGGATGAAATGATTTATTATTGTCAGAGAATGATCCATGCTAGAAAAGCCAATTTCATGATTGGCAGTCAGTTTGAGTTGGATTGGCTGCTTATACATCTGTTAATAGAAACCCAGGCTTTGATCATTCATTTCGTTGTGTGCACTGCACTTTCAGTGTTTGTATGATAAAACTACGCATGACTTTGATCATGTTAAAGAATTATCTCACACTAAAAACAATGGTTAAATGAATGGCTAGAGCCATTTTGTTCATTCCCAATTATTTTTCCTTGCTTTGTATAAAGAGAATGCAACCATTGTCATGCATGGGCAAGCACGCCTACTGTTATGTGCAAGCAACAAATTAACTGTTCTATTTTCACATGAATTTTGTGAACACATGGCATGATAGAATGCGTGTCTTGTTCAAAACCAGAAGAAATTATATGCGAGAATATCAATTATGTTAACATACTTTTGAATTATAGATGAACGAACCCATATCACTTTCTGCGGATATGTTCATGTGCTTACACAATCAGTCTGAGTGGCGGCCTGGATCAGCCCAAGTATGTCATATCGATCCTTGAATGGTGTGTCCCGGAATTGGCTGATTCTGTTGGCGCTGAGAAAATCTGAGTATATTTGTAGGTCTGATTGCAAGGAGTTTATTTTTTGCAGCATCTGATGACGTGTGATATTTTTTTTAGTTAATTTTGCCACTGCTATGACATGACGATTGAAGAAGCTGCCGAATTGGCTCGAGGGGGCCATCTATGATGCCCATATTCTGAGATGGAGCTAGTGGTGGAGTTTCTAGCTGTAATGTTTCTTCATTCTCCACCTACCCACTCTTCCTTGCCGAATAATGCAGACAGACACCTAAACTGTGTGATAATTTCTTCCCTAATGTCTGAAAAGAAAGTCCCACATTGAAAAAATAAAGAAAAAAACCCTTTGGCTACACCATGCTGTATATTTTTTTATTTAAAGCTGCATGAATTTGCATCATATCTACTTCTGAAATTCTCTGTTCTTCAGTTTATTATGTCTGGCCCAATGGATGGAGGAAGCTCTCTGGGGATGATGTTGGCGAGCTGCATTACAAGTAATTTCTCGTCGTTCCAAGCCCAGTGGAGTAGGATTCCAGTCTCTTGAGTGGCCTTTGACTGCCTGTTATGGGCATGTTCTTCGCGCAGAAATATGGCCGGCTTTTAACTCTTTTTAATGTACATTGGTTCTGTATATTTGATACCTTCCTTGGATGATTTACATGCTTTGCTCAAGTGCTTGATATCCTTTTTAAATAATTTGACTTGAAGTGATTTCATCAGCCATAAAAATCCCTTAACAGAGTAATTTTAATCTTCTCTTTGAATTTAAATCGGAAAGACAAATAAGTGATTAATATTTTCGTTGTTTCTTATTTTAGTCCTTTTTCATGGGTTTTGCAGAAATTTTCATGACAAATAAAAAAAAAAAAGCAATCTTTGAATTGATGGCGTATGTTAAAGGTAGGAGTTTGAAAACCTCTGGGATCATGCTCCATCTTCTTCCTCCCTGACAATG